ACGCCAGTGGGACTCGCTGATCGCGATCAACTACCCTGCTCGGGCGTTCGGGATAACGAGGATGATATCCGCGAAGGAAGCTCGGAAGCTTTGTCCAGAAATTGTTCTACAGCATGTTGCAACTTTTCGAGAAGGTGAGGGTGGAAAATGGGCGTACAGGGAGGATTCTTACCAGCGCATGAATACGGATAAAGTGTGCTTGGATCCGTATCGGGCGGAATCGCGTAAGATCCTGAAAATAATGAAGGAGGAATTGTCGAGATGGTATACGGACCTGCTTGATGAGGAACGGGGGCTGGGATCACTCGCTCAGATACAACAAGCTAGTGTTGAGAAAGCTAGCGTTGACGAAGTTTTTATCGATTTGTCCCCGCTGGTTTATGGTGTCCTGCTTCGACGATACCCAGAACTACGAAATGGGCCGGATGGCGACGATCGTGTCGCATCGCTTCCTCGTCCTCCTACAACCGCCCTGGAATGGAATCAGGGCGATTGTCTAGTGGACCTGGACGAGCACGAGACGGAGGTGGATGACCCTGATTGGGATGATGTTGCGATGCTTATTGGATCAGAGATCGTCCGAGCGGTTCGCACAGCAGTCTGGGATAAGCTGAGTTATACGTGCTCCGCAGGTATAGCGAAGAACAAGATGATGGCAAAGTTGGGGAGCTCTAGCAACAAACCCAACAAACAAACCATTGTACGCAATCGCGCTATCCAGAACTTTCTTGGTGGCTTCAAGTTTACCAAGATACGAATGCTTGGGGGTAAGCTGGGTGACCAGGTCACGGCTCTGTTTGGAACTGAACAAGTTAGCGATCTTTTACAGGTTACGCTGGAGCAGTTCCGGGCCAAGCTGGACGATGATACTGCCAATTGGCTCTTTGGAATCATCCGCGGTGAGGATAAGAGTGAAGTGAACCCCAGGACGCAAATCAAGTCCATGCTCTCCGCCAAGTCTTTCAGACCGAGTATCAACTCCGTCGAGCAAGCGGAACGGTGGTTGCGGATTTTTGCCGCTGACATCTATGGCCGACTCGTGGAAGATGGTGTACTTGAGCACCGACGCCGTCCAAAAACCCTCGCTCTGCATCATAGGCAAGGTGCACAAGTTCGCTCTCGCCAAAGCCCCATTCCTGGGTCGATACCGATCGACGAGACATTGCTCTTCGACCTTGGGAGAACATTGCTTCGACAGGTCATCGGTGACGGACGCGCCTGGCCTTGCGCAAACTTGTCAATGAGTGTCGGTGGATTTGAGGATGGGGTTGGCAATAATAAAGCAATAGATTCCTTTCTACTCCGAGGAGACCAGGCCAAAAATATTGGCCACCCTGCGAAGGACCGTTCTATGGATGACTTGCCGGAAATGTTACAACCGAGCGAGAAACGGAGGAAAGTCGACGACGATGGTATAAAACGCTTCTTCAACCAGCCTGCCGGGGTCAACACGAAACCCCAGCCCAGCGAGGCTATATTGGTGACACCGGCGACGAGCCTGGAAGGGAACAGCGAGAACATGCTTCTGTCTGAGGCCTCGTGTAATTCTGAAATAACAGAAGTTGCGTTGGGATACTATACTTGTAGACGTTGCGGAAAACCGCTACCGGAAGCTGAACGGGATGAGCACGATGACTGGCATTTTGCCAAGGATCTGGAAAGACAAGAAAGACAAGAAGCCATCAGATCCCAGCAGACAGCACGCCCGTCCAATAACATGGGATCTTCCAGCGCCCGTGGCAGACCGGGTCGTAACAGCCGGGGTAAGCCTGAGAAAGGGCAGACACGTCTCGCTTTCGGATAGTACCGCTGGACTTGAAATCCTCTCGATAATCAAACATCCAAGCCGACCTCGAAGGAATGACTTCCATATTCAAGCAACCCCAATAGAGATGATGTTCCTCTTGATATCTATATGCGTTCGTTGCACCAGGAGAAACGAGAGCCCTACCTCGCCTTCTTTACTCTCCTCTTGCTGATCTCAGCGGACCTCATCGTGCAATATTGTGCTGTAAGCTATGTGGAATGCATTACGAAAGCCGCTACATTGCTCATAAACCCTCGATATGATTCGTCGTAAATCCCCCATCATGTCACACCAAGCAAGGGAACAACAGCCAGCAGATTCCGATGGGTAGGGAATATTGGAGCTCTTGGCTAAGCCGTATCCTCAACCATGGTTCGAGTGTAAATTTTAACTTACCCGAGAAGTAAAGTCAAAATACTTATATAGATATTGGATTTAAGCTCTTTCGAACTTAATGAGCTAGTAGACGATCATAACGGGTTGGAGATGAGGTTGCATAGCAATCCAAATGACCGACAAGAGAAGCTATTGGTGGTTTGGCACTTTTTAGGTCCCGTTGTGCAGCGGTGACATCAGCAGACTCAGCCGCGGGGTCGAATTTCAATTCCAACAGACAGTCATTGTGATTTGACGTTTCAGCGATTTCGCTCTCGCCTACCATAACAGTGCACGTGTCTCACGGATAATTTCACTACACTCGATATCAGGACTTCTCTATTCCTGAGAATCAGCAGAGGATTCGGAGTGTCTACAATCAATTAATCACGCTGCACGAGTTGCCCCTCACAGGACGGGTGTAGCAGAAATGTCCAATGAAGGCACCCGATAAAGACCAATTAGCTCCACTTCTAATTTTTCGTTACGGTCAACTTGGGTAATTCGTCTTATTTGCTATTCAAATATTGGGTTACACCATGCCCCGGCGATATCGTGCCCGTGAGTACGACGAGGACATGTACGAAGTTGAACGGGACCATTATCATCGTAAACACCAACATCGACCGCGAGGCGGACGTCATTACAAGGAGGAAGTAATCTATGAACAACCTCGAGCCCCGAGTCCCCCACCGGTCGAGGAGTTTGATCGTCTTCGCATTCGAGACGATGCAGGGCCTGAATTGATCCGGGAACCCTCTCGTGAGACATCGAAAGAGCTCCGGAAGGTTAGGGATGACACTTTCAAACGTCGTCGACCACATCGGAGAGAAGTTGTGGAGGAGGAAGAAGAATATGTCTCCCAAGATGAAGAGTTGGCAAGGAGGATAACGGGAAGCGAGTCTGAAGACGAAGTTCCTATCATCCCGAAGAGACGTTCCGCGCCGCGCCGCGGTGACGTACGCGATGAGCTATCGAAACCTAGAAGCCGTCGTTCGGAATATGAACTGGAATTACCGCCCAGTGTCGATGAAATGAAGCACGAATACAGAAAAACCCGCAGTGGCCCTCATTATCATGCACCCCCACGGCTACGACCTGCGTCTGGCCCTAACACAGACGTAGAGGATGGTTATGAAGAGGAAGAAGATGATATTTTAGTTCGGAGAAGCAGGCGGCGAAGACCTCCAAGAAAGGCTGACCTCCATGAAGACGACGACAGCACGTCTTCCCCGGATTCAGAAGACTCTGCGGATGTTTCTCTCGCTCGGGCGCCTATACACCGAAGCCCACAGAAGCGATATGTACAAGATCCGGAAGGTGAGCTTGCTACCTGATATAGACGGTAGTATGATGATTGACCCACCGTTAGATTTTGATTTCTCCCGACCACCTCGTCCGCCCCGCGCACCTAGCCCCGAAGTCAGTTTTGAGAAGCCTAAGAGGGAAAAGTTGAGACCAGCATCTCATGAAGAGATACTCGTTGAAGAACGCGGTGGGCCAGAGCTTCCAAATATCGTACGCGGCCCACCCCCGGAGCCTTTTATTCGGCCAAGGGAAGAAGCATATCCGACTCCCCAATCTCGCCCAAGGTCTATCGAACGTGAAAAGGAAATATCCATCCATGAAGTAATGCCAGGCGGGTTTGATGAGCACGAACTAGTAGAAGAGGTGTATGGCAGGCCTCGTGAGCTGGAGAGGTCTATACGGGAAACTACCCCTAAAATGACCGGAGATGATTGGGCAATCATCTCAGCAGCCCCCAAGACAGAGCGGGAGGCTTTGCTAGATGAAATCTCTCATGGACCCAGAGAGTCAGCCCTTAAAGGCAAAAAGCCTAAGTTTACCGTAAGTGAGGAAAGGCATTCGGAAAGTGACCCAGATTTTGCACGGGGCAAAGTAGGGCGGCGATACATTGGTATGAAAGATCAACGGAACGGGCTCTGGACGGAGATCACCAAGGACCTGGTAGTGAGGGAAGCAATTGAACGATCTGGGTATGAATACGAGGAAACAGTATCTTCCTATTACGTGTTTTCATACCTTCAATTCGTGAGTGAATATCTCTTCCACTAGGAAGCTTACTATTAACAGCTTCACACAGGACGATGTTTCTGCTCTAGTTGACTTGTCGGAAGATATTCGCCGCGCACGTCGTCGACGAATCCAAGAAATTCACCGTGAAAGGAGCTCTATGCCTCCTCCAGCGCCTCCAGCACCACCAGCGGCAATGCCAGGAGAACCGCCATTGATGTTGGACAGACCGATGTCTCCGCCCTTCCGGCATCGTGAAGAGCGACGGATGAAGCAACGTGAGCTGGTTGATGACAGACGTGGGAGACCTCGCTCGGGAAGGTGGTGATACTTATCTAATGTCCCGGCGAACGTATTTTAAAGTGGCAAGCATTGCTTGAATTCCCTTGATCTACAGCCATCATGATTAAACGACACGACAGATACTACTCTAAATTTGCTGGAACAAATATTTAGATATTGTTACTCTGCCTTCGAGGAGACCCACGAGACATGATTTATGAAAATATATGAGATCGTGAGCCCATATCACATTTCTCTGAACGAGACTATTCTCAACACAGGTCCTGTATTTGAGCTTTTGTAGAGAAAATTGTAGCTCAGTGCCATCGTCTCCTTGTGGTTTGCAGTCATCCTATAATTGATTGTATTAAGTAGGGGTAGTGCAAACACGGGCAAAATCGAATACCGGTCGTCGGCAAGCCATCCCGGAATCCCAGCCCTATACAGATCTACGGCAACTTTTTTTATATGCCGAGATATACTCCAATTTCTCACCAATCAGAGCATGTTAGCTCAGGGGAAGAGCGGTATTTACCCACGTGACCTACATATTTAGAGTATATAAGCTGACATATAATAGCCGGGCTCATAACCCGGAGGACCCTGGATCGAAACCAGGACATGCTATCTTTTTTGCTCTATAATCCCTATCTTAGGGTTTCGTACCAGCAAGCTTGGTCTATATTTCCCGATTTTTTTCACCTCTTTCCCCGGGGAGTATTCTAGTTAACTAATTGATTTAGTAGTTTACAAATTACAATCATATATGGTATGACCATATAATTAGACCATATAGACCACGCAGGCCAAGGAGATTAAGCGATTCAAGAAGCTTCTCAGTATAGTAAACTATTCTGCTGGCAGAAGAAGTTTCAGACCATAGGAAATTAAATTATTGCGGATTGGCGGCGTTGTTGCCGCAGTCCTATAGTCCCAATTCCTAATAGTAGTCGTACTAACCGACTAAAATCCTGATTTTTTAGAGAATTATGACTTCTTTGTATTAAGAATTAAGATTCTAGATTCTAGGGTCAAGTGGCGCAACATTTCAGAGCAAAGCTACATATATGATTGTCGCATCCACAACGCAGGGAGCTTACAAGTGGGATAAGATATAAGGATATAGAGTTACTCAAGATGCACGATCCGTTGGCTGGTTCTTCTATATCTTAGACGGATTTCTTCTTCCCTAATCAATTTCATTCCTATAGCGCCTAAAACCGAATTGAATGCTTCTTAAACCCTCTACAAGGAGAGGCTGCCGTTCGTCCAGAGGAGCAGCGCTTGCCGAGATAAGTTTCATCGCCGAGGGCTGTTCGTGCTCAAGTATACACATGTTTCCGCGAAGAACTATCACGGGAAACCATCCTCCTTGGGTGCCAACGCCGTTGAAATTGCTCACTTTCCTCCAAGGGATATCCCTCCAACACATCAACTAGAGGATTTATTTTGAAAACATTTCGAGACCCCTTGGTTTGGAGCCAGGTGTGGAAGCTTCCCTGGGTATTATAACCGCTGATTGAAATTGCCAGTCGACTTGCTGGGTCTCTTGCTTCGGCCATTTGAGCATATCACCATCTCTCAAATGTAGTCCAAGCAACCGAGATATTGTAAATCTGAAGGAACCGCAGGATACTTCACACATTTTACCCTCGTGGGACACCTTTACCGTTGTCTTCGTTGGTTCCAAGTACCTCATAATGTTCATCGACTTCTTTTTCTGCCAGGTTTGCTGGCCCTGGGCTTGACGCTTGGAGAGAAGGTTTTGGTAATACTGTCTTAGGAGAGCGTCGGGGGAGTTTCGTATATCATTAAACGCGTCTCTTGCACTTTCTGCCCATTGACGAATAGTCGGGTCCTCAGAAAATAAATGCTGCTGGAAAGATATTCGCCCACTAACTGCCTCACTTACAGCTTGGTCCTCATCTGTGAAGCCTTACCACAAAGGCAGTGCAACATTGAGGTGATGCCCCGACCAGAGTCTGTTTACACTGTCGGGTAGATACTCATCTAGGTGCAACGATGTCAATGTCTGGAAGACCAGCGCCATCCACATTTTGTGGAGGTTCAGCAATAACTGTGTCTTGACAGATGTTGGCTTTTCACTGGTGACTAGTGTGACGAATATTGACTCCATGTCTTCAGCTGAGTCTCAAACATGATAATGCAGCGATGGGTTACGTTTCCGGCGGTAGATATCGTTGTGGGTTCGAACGCGTTCGCGAAGCTCTGCTCCCTGTCCAACGTATAACCAAAAGTTTTGTGGGTTGCTCCTCCTCCACAGGATGTGGAGGTAAACTCCACAAATAGATAGGTTTTCTGGGTTCTGACCAATTGCTATGAGACTATTTCCCTTTATTAATAACATGCTAAGATGGGAGAAGAAGCGGGTGATATACTTCGAGAGCGTAAATTCACCGTTTTTGCAGATGTCCCTTACAGAGGGATTCAAATGCTGTTCCAGAATTGCCCCAATATCTTCTGTGTCTAATATCGACGCATACCTCTCTTCATATTTTTCTGCTGTTTTTGAATGAGCTGCTTTAGTATGAGCGCACGATCAACAGGCCCGATATTTTGAAGCTGGAGTGGTTCCCCAACTACGCCTGCGATAAAATTGTTTCTCGTCCTTGCAGGCCCTTCCACACTAGGCTTCTCATTTAGCTGGTTTCCCTTAGGTGGTTCAGCGTCAGCATTTAACTGTGAAATATCGCTCTGTATGTTTCCTTAAGCACCTCTCCACTATGCTCGATAACTTATAGACTGGTAACAACTTACTTCATCAAGAGTGTTCGTGCTTGCTTGGATAAGCTCTTCTTCGGAGGATGAAGAGGACGAAGAGGACGAAGAGGATGAAGGGCTCTGGGGCCTTTGCTTTCGGATATACTGTTTCACTCAATCTACAGCATCTTCCATGATTTCTTCTTCTTCCTCTTCCTCCTCCTCCTTCTTCTTCTTCTTGTCATTCTTGGCCTTCCTTCCCTTCCTTTCCTTCTCCTGATGTCTATACCAGTCTGCTATTATAAAGAGACTGAGTTAAAGTAAATCTATACCTTCTTCTCTTGCTTGGCGGCGCGACGGCGCCGATGGCGCTTAACCCTCTTCGTCATTGACTTCGGGGCGTCGGGGTCGGGGGGAGGCATTCTTCTAACAAATATTAGTAAATATATTAGATAAATGTAAGCTTAACTTGCCTTGTTCTTCTTCTTCTTCTTCTTCTTCTTCTTCTTCTTCTTCTTCTTCTTCTTCTTCTTCTCCTCCTCCTGCTGCTTCTTTTTGGAAGATTATTATGATAATGTCTTAGTAGTGGATGAAAATCTTACAGCAGCAGCGAAACCTCTGGCGTAGACTTGCAGAAAGTCCCCCAGTTCGCCCAGGCGGGCAACAACGGCATTAGTATCATTAGTATTTGTCTTTCCCACTTGATTAGTATACATTAATAGATATCAAAGCTTATAAGGAGAAAGAATCTGCTCTGAGGCAGTGAGGAGTTCAGCAAAGCTTATGATAAAGCTATTACAGAACTCGGTGTCAAGCCACTAGGTGACTTGAAGCTTTGAAGGAAAAGATAGTTATACTTACAGCCATGGTGAGAGAGGGAGAGAGGGAGAGAGGGAGGGAGAAAGAGAGAGTGGGAGGCTTGGAGGGCAGATAGGCTGCTATGTAGATAATTCTGCCAACCTTCTTCTTCGTAGGAGGCCCTCGCAACAAAAAGTACCAGTTCGGGCCTCTCCATTCTCCTAAGAGAAAAAACTGCAGTTGGGCAGGTACAGTATCTATTATACTGTAAGATAGATATGGTAAGAGTCATATTACCATAGACAGTATAATATTGCTTGATTAGCGAAAGTTAATCAGTATATATATATGAAGATACCAATAATATATAAGTATCTTACCGCGGCAGCGTATGCCATTGCATAAATTTATAGGAGAAAGACCCCGTTCTCTAAGCCTCCGGGCCGTTTCTGCTTCGATTTTGGCCTTGTCCTATCAAAATCTTGATTAGTATATATAGATATATATTGAAGAGATCGGTAACATATGAGTATCTTACTGCAGCAGTGTAAGCCCTTGTATATATATATATATATACATACAAAATGGACCCCAACTTGCCCAAATATTAGGCAACTTCAAGCGTAAAAGCGTTCCATCCTTTTACACTTGATTAGGATACATGATCGGATAATATGTTGATGTTGATCGATCCATATCTAATTAAGGAAGATATTTTGGGAGGATAAAGAGCTCTGAGCTGAGCTATCTATAATACTTGTCTCTGTGGTTCTTTGTCATCATGGGCATTCATCATTATAGATATTCATCATTATAGATATTCATCATTATAGATATTCATCATTATAGATATTCATTATAATAGATATTCATTCCGATGGGCACTTCTTATTGTACTTGTAGGGAATCAATTCCCTATATATATTCTTTATAGAAAACTGGGTAAGCTAGGAAGACAGGTATTACTTGAATTGATTATCTAGTGCGGGCTGTAGAAGAATAAGAGTATGTATGCACATACCAGTTGCTACCAGAGCTGGAAATATAGGGGAGATATCAATGGGCACTGGATAGGGTACAGCACTATATAGCTTCCCGCCGTTACAATAGTTCTGGAAGTATGGAATGATATTCCTATTCAGCTTTTAATGATGGAGATCTCAGATGCATTATTATACTAAAACAGCCAACCAGGCAGACGGGGGCCCTACTGAATACTGGAGACTACGTCTTTCCTTTTTTCTATATAGAAGATTTCTATATAGTTAGAGGGCTTCAAATTCATTGATTTGAATAAACCGACAGAAAAGTCGGTGGTGAATTGACCCACTGACAATCCCACCGCACCCCACCACAGTATGAGCCTGACCTATCAGAATACGCGTTTTTCCCTGTTACCCTTAATTGGTTCATATAGTTATGCTAAGCATATTACTAGTAGTAATGGATAAGAATCTTACTCCGTTCTGCATTTGCGTATGCGGCAGTATACACGTGGATCCACGCAGTCTGTTCACCGAGGAGATGTGGCCTCCAGGGCAGGCAATCTGTCTTGCTGACGTCGTCAAATGTGTAGAAAGTACCTTCACCCTTGAAATAGAGTCTAATGGTTAGTATCCACGATAGCATCAAGCTCGAAAGGGAAGCTCACACATCATAGGCAGGCTGGACGGAACTTCGACCTGAGATTCTATGCCATCAACATGAGACACATAACCATATGCAAGCTAGATAATAGTATTAGAACGAGGTGAAATCGTTAGAGAAGCGAATTCAATTGGCAGGGTAGAAATATCGAAACGCGGCAAACTTTTCAAAGGAGGGTTGTATCTTGACGGCGCCATTTTGACTGTCATAATGATTGATTGTATTGCTTGCTATCCTACTCTGAAGTAAGCTATCTAGGCCTAAACAACAAATATAGTGTGAACCGCTTGGCGGCCGGAACTCCCTGCCAACATTGTATAGGATTGAAGCGAGGTAGCGTCCTATGCCTTGCTTATCGGCTCGTCAAGCCTATCTAATTGGACTTGAAGGAGTCACTATTTAGGCATTTTCAGAAGCCAGGAAATCCATCGGACGCAATTGTCGTCAGTGGAGATATTAGA